ATAATGTGAGGGGGGAGATTGGGGACATAAAATAAAGAGATTGTTGGGCTCTGCTTCAGTAGTTTGTAGGCTCAGGCAATTTTAAGATCTAAGTGCTTCTAAAGCAAGGCCAGATTTGGTCTATAACTATGGGAACTGGGAAAGAACTAACAAAAACACACAGGGGAAAAAAAAAAAAAAAGAAAAAAGCAAACATTTGTATTGACCAGAAAGGCAAAATGCAAATCTGCCTTGGTAAGAGACCTTTGTTTGCTATATTATTGCTTCTTACTTATTCCTCCAGACGATTGGGTTGTGGAGTGAGACGGTGTTAAGGGACACAAAGGCAACCAGAAGAGTGGACTGAGAGAAGGCAAAAATGGGGCCCCCAAAGGAGGAGAAAGGCCTCAGACAGGAAAGAAAGTCATAATGACAAACTTGGCCCATGACCCATTTTGTGGCTCTGAGGCTGCTGGGCTGGAGACAGGATCTACTTCTGAAACATTAAGGTCCTATATTTTGGCTCCCAAGGTTTCCCTTCCATGACCTACAGACTTCATCTCTGATTCAGGACAAGAGACCCCTATCAACCATCTTGATCAGCGTTCTCCAGGCTGGCATTCCCAAACCAAATCTGTGCCTTTGTTTACGGATCATAAATCCACAGGCTCAACTATTTACACTGACTGAAGCATGAGGGCCAGACTCCTTCCAGGAGCCCCTGGGATCCCAGGGAATTCCTTAGGAGGTACTTGAGGGAGAATTTTGAGATAGCAGGTGTGGAGATATTCTTATGCAGGAATCTGCCTCAGCTCATGGCTGCCCCAACTGTCCTCAAAGACTGGTGCTGAAATAAAACAACCCACTGAGAGGGTCAGGAAGGGAAAGGTTACTTAGCTAAAGCCTGTGGTTTCTGCTGTCCAGGGAGCCGTGACCTCATTCAGCTGAAAGAAGGTGAGGGCAAGAAGGTATAGGACTCACGGGTCAGGTACTTGAAGGCAGGGTGGGCACCAGTACCAATGACTGCAACCTTGCTAAACATGGGGAAAGAGACACTGTAGGTGCGGCGGGCAAAATTCTCAATCTCCCTGTTGCTGTCTGGCTCCTGTTGACCAAACTGGTTGCAGGGGAAAGCAAGCACGTTGAAATGGTAGGGACCCAGGTCCCGCTGTAGCTGCTGCAGGGATCGGTAGTGTTGATCTGTGAAGCCACACTCACTAGCCACATTCACCACCAGGGACACCTGGATAGCAAAAAGAGAATAAAACAAAGCTCAGATACATTTGCAACCCAGTGAAGAGTCATGTACTTGTATATAACCTGACATGCCCACAAATGTGACTCTCCAAACCATGTTCCCTGACACATACAAGAATACTATGCACATATGTAAATGTGTGTACAATGTTCTCATATCCATTATATATATATACATATATGCACAGGCAAACAGGCACGTATGAAATAAAGCACATAGGGACTTATAGATGTGTGGACCCAAACATACATTAGCAAGTAGCACACATGCTCACAAATACCCATAGCATATTCACAGAGGCACACACACTGGTGAGCACAAATGGGGAGGTGATGTAGGGAAAGAAAAGGGCACACCTTGGTTCAGATTTTGGCTCACTCATTATGCTGTACCGTAATTGCCGGTAAATCAATCTCCCTTCTAGGATTGGAACCTACTGAGAGCAGGAGCTGTGTCTATGTCATCTCTGGGCCTGGCATATGGAAAAGTCTCAGTAAGTATCTGATGATGAAGTAAGTGGGTATGAATACACAAACACCTACATGGGTACTTAGACACGGTTTTTTCTTGAAAAAGTGATCACCGGGACCTTAGGGAAATCCTTTTTGTCTCTCTCCTCCAGCAAACAAATACCAAGTTTTTGGATCACTAATCCTTAATTTTATTAAAGGTTTTAGGCAATTAATATAAAGCTAGCTGATGGAACTAAGATAATACTGCAGCTAGAATTTGGCACCAATGCTACATTTTTAGTTTCTAGATATATATTATTAAAGAATTAGAAACCCTACCTTGCACCTGGGCAATGTAGGCATACATCCCTGGCTCCTTTTTGAGAAGAGCTGGGATTATACCAGCTGGCCCATCTCGTAGAGATAGTCTCAAACACTGGACACAAATTGCTCAGACTAGATCAGGTTTCTTAGCCTCAGCACCATTGATATTACAGGACAGATCTTTATTATGAGGGACAGAGCTGTCCCGTCTGTTGTAAACAAACTGCCAAACCTCATCCCTGGCCTCTACTCACTAGATGCCTCATTTTGACAATCAGAAATGTTTCCAGCCAGAGCTGGTGCTCACTCCTGTAATTCTAGCTACTTGGGAGGTTGGGATTGGGAAGACTGAGATTAGAGGCCAACCTGGACAAATAGTTCAAGAGACCCCATCTCCAAAAATAACCAGAGCAAAAATGGACTGGAGGCGTGGCTCAAGTGGTAGAGTGCCTGAAGTCCTGAGATCAAACCCCAGTCCCACCAAAAGAAAAAAAAAAAGTTTTCAGATAACTGGGTTTGGTATTACATCCTGTAATCCCAGTACTTGAGAGGCTGAGGCAGGAGGTTCATGAGTTCAAGGCCAGCCTTTCCTCTAAACTTAGCAATAAGGCCATGGACTGTGGAGTTGGACGCCACTGCCTGGGCTCAAATTCTAATTGTACCTCATAGTATCTTTGAAACCTTGTTTTAATTCTGTCCTAGAACTTACTACTGTTGGGTATTACCTTGTTCATTTTCTCAGATCCTTGTTTATTGTCTTTTTCCTCTCCATACAATATGGAGACTTTGTCTCAAAAAAAAAAAAAAAATTCTGACACTGCCACATGTTCCCTGGGGGCAGTATCACCCCCAGTAGAGAACCACTGGGCTAAATGACTAAACCACTGAGCTGTAACTCCTCCACCTTATCTTCACCAAAAGAGGAAAGACCTATTCCTTAGAGCCATAAACTGTAACAACAACCTCCCCATTTGTGGTCAGCACACGCCATACTCTGCCTGCTGTGGAGAGAAACTAGGACTCAACTCCCTTCCCCAGTTAGGGGTCTCCTACTTTCTTCCCTGCTGGATTCCTGGTCAATGACAGCATTAAAGGTTGCTTTTTTTTAACCTACATCGTATGTGTCTGCCTATTCTTTTGAAAAGGGAGAAATCTGGCTTCTAGTTCCATCCCTGAAATTAAAAAGCTTGGTCCCCAGAGACCAAAACAGACAAACACACCCAAATGCACATAGCTAATTTACATATGTACATATACAAGCACAGAGACTCAGATGTATATATAGAAACAAGCAAACAAAACACACACATACACACACACACACACACACACACACTCCATTCAGGTCTATAGGTATAACACAATATAGGAAGCAAGCACATTCTCAAGTGATCACCAATGCAATACTGGTCTAAATGACTGTCATTTAGCAGTTAGCCTCATGGCTATCACCAGGGCTAGACTTAGTGCCTGTAAATGTTTGCAGGTGAGTATAATTGCCCAAGCTGCAGACCTAGTTGAACGTAGGACTGTTTACAGCTTTCCTGGATTGACTGCTCCCTCCTTTCCTCTAAACTTAGCAATAAGGGCATGGACTATGGAATTGGACTGACACTGCTGGGGCTCAAATTCTAATTGTACCTCATAGTAGCTGTGAACCCTTGTTCTAATTCTGTCCTAGAACTTATTACTATTGGGTATTACCGTGTTCATTTTTTCAGATCCTTGTTTATTGTCTTTTTCCTCTCCATACAAGCTCTACTAAAGCAGAAATGTGTCTGTTTTGTTCATCATTATATCCCCAGGGTCCGGCCTAGTACCTAGTAGACAGTAGGTAGTGAACAATGTATTAATGCGTAGCAGAGCTGGTCAAGTGGCAAACTTGAGCTGTGCTAGAGGGAAGACGGGACCTGAATTGGAACAAGCCCTGCTCTCCTCTCTCTCTCTCTCTGAACTCAGGGCTTTGCTCTTGCAAAGCAGACACTCTACTGCTTGAGCCACGTCTCCAGTCCATTTTGCTCTGGTTATTTTGGAGACAGAGACTTGGGAACTTTTTGCCTGCAAACTACCTGCAGGCTGGCCTCTAACCTCAATCCTCTCGATCTCAGCCTCCCAAGTAGCTAGGATCACAGGTGTGAGCCACTGGAGTCCAACCTCTCTCCTCACTTTGCCCTTAGTCCTGGACCAGATTCCTGCTGAGATCCACCCAACAGGTATAGAGCACACACTGTCATCTCATTTGAAACTCACAGCATTCTAGGTCAGGACAAAGATTACTGCCTCCAGGCTTCCCAGCATTAACTGAGAATTTCAAGACATGTAGAGTAATGTTGTCAATAAAAATGGCCTTGCTCCCAGGAAAAGCATGTTGACAACCATTTTTGTGTGGTCCATTCAAATCTGGATGCTGGGCCCACACGTCCATTGGGTCCAGAAGCAAACTTGGAGGCTCTTCATTACATACAGTGAAACATCTGGGCCTCTGAATGTAGTGTCCAAGGCCCTTTTGGAGTCCTTGCCCCCCTTCAGTCTTGTCTGCCACCACTCAGCCCCTAGGTTTTTGTTCGTCAAGCACAACTGCTTGGAACCGTGTGCACTGTTTGCTTCGGCCTCTTGACTGGGATAGTTCTGTCTGAAACGCTCTTCTTGCTGAAATCTACTCTTGTTTCAAAGACTCAGGCCTGATACACTTCCTCTCTAAGTCAGATTCCTTCTTGGTAAGGAGGGTCAATTCACAGAGATTCTAGCATCGTGGCCTGGCGTGCCCTCTACGGAATGGTCTAGAGTGGATCATGGATGGAGAGGAGTGTGTGGAGTTGTCTTCCAGGCTTTGTCGATTTCCAGTGCTGTCCGGCCTTGTGCAAATGCCTTGTCTCCCTGGGCCTTAGAGTGCTGTCTAAAGGATGATCCGCGTAAGGGGCGGGTGTATCTTAGCAGTTAACTCCCTCTGCACCGCACATTCATCTCCACGATGTCTGCTCCACACACGGAAACGGGGCGCGGGAGGCCAAGGCTGTACTTTTTTGCACCCGAGAGGGGCAAAGCCTGGGTTGGGGCATCGACCTTCCAGGGGAGGTCTGGACCCCGCCGTCCACAGGCGTGGGGAGCGAAGTTAAAGCGGGTTTCCGCGCGCCTGGCGTGCCACGTAGCCGCGGGACGGAGCCCGCGCAGGGTCTGGGTCGCTGCGCG